CACTCTTTAGGGATGCTTTGAGTGACACAAAATCAACAAACACAAATACCACAAGACAATATAAATGGGCTTTATTCTACATGCCAAGAAATGCAGAAGTAAGTAGGTGGGTATATTCGTTCAGTTGTTTGAAGATGTCAGGCTCAGCTTTTCTGTGATTCTTTTGACTCTTTTCGTACTCGTCATTATAGGAGTTGCAATAGCTTTTGATGTTCCTTATTCATTATTGTAAAGAGAAAAAAGTTGCAGCAAAGGAAAGCACCAATACACTTCTAACGTCGCTTGCCTGAAACACAGCTGAAAGACCACAAAATTACTTATTTAACTCAAGCAGCCTCAGAGACAGATAAGAAAAGAATATTGGGTGTTGCATGCTGGTCAGCCTGCTTGTAATCTTGTTTTTGGTACTAAAAGCAACCTCAGCATCCAGTTAATCAACTCTATAAACTCTGGACCTTATCTATCTTGTTTCTTTTTCCTGCCTGAAAACATATTTTCCTCCTGACCTTTGCCTCTTTTGCTAATCGTTCAAATTTCGGCTTAAATTTCACCTTTTCAGAAAATTCTTTCCTGGATATTTTGTCTTAACTTGCCTTTTCAAGTATTCTCTATTGTGCTAATCAAGTAATTTCTTTCATATGTCTTATCCAATCATGGAATTTGTATTTAATGTTTTGTTTCCCTTTTAATAATTCTCTGTTAACACTAAGTTTATAAGTAAACTGATTGCTTAATTCATCAGTGTGTACCAGTCTCCAGCACAAGTTAGCCATATAGTTGAAGTTCAATAAATCTCCGTTAAATAAATATATAAACAAATGAATTTATACAGTGAACAGAAATCTGAAAGTTTTTTTTTTTTTTTAATCAAACTAGTGGGCTAATAAGGAGGCAGGTAAAGCTCTTTAGGTACAGAAAATGTGTAGAATAGTTCAGGGTTTCACATTCTTAGTAGATGAAACACAGAATAATGAGGCAACTCAAAAGATAAAAAAAAAAAAGGCAGCATTAGAGCCCCAATTAGAAAGTAGATAAAAATGAAAACAAAGGTACTTATTCCAAAGAAGGCTGTTCTTCAGCAAGGTACATTCTAAATCTGTTGGTTCTTCATATGATTAAAATTAGCCCTCTTCTTGTCACATCTTTGTGGAAACTGTATATTCACTGTGATTTTCCCCCGTTTATCTGAAGTTCTAGCCCTTAGCCAAGTTTGAAATGTTTGCGTTTCCTGCCTCCTCTTTATTCTGTTTTGAAAAACTAATTTTATGGTCTCCTATGCTTCTATGTGGGGTCACACAGCCCTTCCTGTGCCACAAAGAAACCCTCCTCCCCACTTTCCCTTTCCCCACATCACATCATGGCTTTAATTACTTCCCATCCTGAGGACACCAATTTATGTGTCACTTCTGTAGGAAAGTCTGGGCTGTGTGCACCTGTCTGTGCCTCTTTAGGCCCCATACTTCTAGGATAGCTCTTACTGCACTGAAGTGCGATTCTTTGTATTCACCTGCTTCTTTCAATGCAGTGAATGCTCACAGGACAATGTCTATTCTGTCCATTCTTGCATCCCTAATTCCTAGCTCTGCATCTGCAACGTATTAGGCACTCAGTATGCAATCTGAGCTAATGCATAAAATAGCCTGTAGTGATTTATGCACTATACCTGGATCCAAGAATGCCAATTTCAATTTACTTTTGCTATGACAGGATATCTACTTTTACTGTATCTTTGATAATTATATACAAATATTTTGATTCATACATGAGGGTGATTTTGTTTTTATTTTATCACTTGACATTTGTATTTACATTTGAAGCACTGGCCTGTGTCTTTAGACCATTTATGGAGTACAGAATTGTTTATTTGTAACTATTTGTCCTTTAGAAATCCCTGCTATATATTGGCTCATTTTGTTAGAGTATTCAACAAAATGACTCTTGAAACATTTTTTTTTACTTCTATTATTTTTCAGTATTTTTCCTTTCACTTATTTCATCTTATCTATATCCCCTCTACTTTAGATTGGTTGATTATTGTTGGCCATGTTTGGTTTTGTTTTTCTTTGTGGAGTGGTAGGTCTTTACTATTATTTTCGTTTGCTTAACTCATGAATCAAATACTAATCAGGCACAACCACATATCCCTCAGTAAAGTGTAAAGGAAAGGACAAAACACGAGAGACAGTTTTTATCCTTCACTATCGAACAACAGGAAGGGAAAGACAAATGCACTTATTTGTAAACATATCATGTATTTTTGGTGAATTTAGAACACAGCTATTCTCAGAAGGCCAGGAGAGGCTTCTTCTGGGAAATGGTGAACAAGAGTTGATCAAGCAAGACCCGGAGAGACACAGATGGATTTTAAAGTGTCTGAGATACTGAACTGCTTATGCAGTTCATTTAAGACAACTACAACTTTACCTTGGAAATAAGAAACTATGTAATCTACAAATTTGTACACTCATATTAATTCAAACTAAAGAAAACCACAGATAAAAAGAAAAAAAGACATTTCATTTCTATTTAATAATGATACTGCTTAAAGTTTTGTATTTACTCTGAGGATAGCCTACACTAGGTGCCATTTGATTTTAAATTAAATTTACAAAGGTCATTTTTGCCCTCCATGACTTTAATAAAATAAATTTAATTAAATTGAAATATGTGTGCAGGTATTTGTAAAGAAATGAGGTTCCAATTGGCAGGTAAAAGGTCAGATGTTATGAAGAATTAGGAAATCCTCTTCTAGCCACAGGCATCGATCACCCTAGATTGAAACACCGAGGATTCACTAACCCCTTCCTCAGGGACCTCTCCCAGTACAATGCAGGAAAATATTTGAAAAACTTCAACCTTTCAATTTGAAGCCCAGTGTGAAAATTCAGAGCTGTGGTGTGCTCAATCCCCAGGCCCTAAGCGTCTGTGTCTGCAAGACCAGGTGTCATGAATTAAGGTAATTCCACTGCTGGGAAGCCTCTTCCTCTAGATCTCCAACTCCCTGCCACTGAGGCAGCATAGGAGCAGGGCAGCCCTGCCCCTGTGTCTTGCTGGGTTCAGCTCTGTCTTTCTCACACTCCTATTCTCCTGCAAAGGTTTGGTGCTCTATGTCATGGCTCAGGTGCCTGCTTTGGAAAAGTTGGTTCTCCCTGCCTCTGACAGCAGAGAGCACAAACCCAAGGGATTAAGTGGGGATGTGAGGGGGTTGTCTGCCTGATGATTTCTGGGTTTCACTACCAGATAAGTGTAGGGGTTACAGTTCCTGCAAAAAGTTAATTCAGCAAGAAGGGAACTACTAGAGCATTAAAGAAAATGATCAGCACAGTGCAGCAACAGGAGCTGTGGGCCTGCTCCAGAAACGAGGGACATTCTGGATAGCCCTGTAATTTTAAATGAAAAAGTGGCTACTTTTCTCTGACTCTGGAGAAACAGGTAAGGTAGACTGGGGAAAAGTAAGATTTCTAAGTAATCCTAACATTTTCCAAACAGGTGAGACACTCATATTGGCTCTGGGTAAAAGATGCCATCAAAGCCAGCACCCCTGGGTGGGTTATTGGATAAATGTCCCCATTCCCCTTGCTTAATCCACTTGAAAGCTTTCACAGAAAGCGTATGCACCTGGGAATGACTCCACCTTGGCATGCACTTGGGCTCCCTGGACATCTTCAGTATCTGCACCGTCTCCTAAATGAGACTCCTAGTTTACTTCTTTTGAGTGTGATGTGACACGTGTGTAACCTTCATTATCCACCTTCCCCAGAACATATTCTGGCTTTGGACAAATGGTGTTTTTCACTCTTCTGGAGTTTAAAGGACTTCGGGTCTTATTAAAGCTCCCTTCTTCCCCTCCCCTTTGCAAGACTAAAAGCTTCATAATGAGCTTTTTCTCCAGCTTTTGCCCCTCATCCTCAACCTCATCCCATCCCCCTCTCTGAGGCATTACTTAGTGGCCACTGTAACACAAGTGACTGCTGAGACACAGGTGTCCCAGGCACAGCCTCCATATCTTAACTACCTCTGCCCCCCACCCAGGTATCTCCTGCACCCTTTGCCAGAAAGACATCTCCAGCCCTCAGGAAAGATTATGTTTTGAATCTTGGGCTCACCGCTAAGAGGGAATATGACCTTGCTATGTTAATTAATCTTTCTGACACTAAATTTATTAATTTGTACAACCAGAATAATACTACTTTAAGATTGTTACAGAATTAGAAAAAGAAAAAGAAAATTCCTAGCCTATGTGTCTGTCTTGTGGCTGGGGAGCTAAAGCAGATTCTTTTTTTTTTTTTTTCGGCTGGGGCTGGGTTTGAACCCGCCACCTCCGGCATTTGGGACCAACACCTTACCCCTTTGAGCCACAGGTGCCGCCCCTAAAGCAGATTCTTTACTTGAAATTAAAAAAAAAAAACAAAACCCTAAAACCCAGGAGGCTGGGGCAAATTGTAGGTGGTGGGGACGGATGTAGGTTCTTCCTTCTGTGTGAGTTCAAATCGCGACTCCTTCTCCCATTAAGCTTTATAATCTATGGAAAGTTCATTACTACTTCATTCCCCTGTTTTCTCCACAACGCAGATGTAGTAAGCACCTGCCTGATAAGGCTGTTGTGAGGATGAAGTCAAAGGACAGAATACACGAAAAGAGCTTAATCAATGTCTCACTCTTTCAGTGCCCCTAAGAAGTAGCTATTAATTCTGATAAAGTGTTGAGAATGAATGGAAAGGAATTACTTTAAATTTTATTTATTTCCATGTGATGTGATTATGGGCAATCTTGCTTTTTGTTTTTATACTTTTCTGAATTTGTTCGGATTTGAAACGAATTATGAGTTACGTTTAAAAAAACCCCATAAACTCCACACACGTGTGAGTAATCATGAATAGTGATTTTGCCACCCTCTTAAGTGAAATAATTATATTTGTACCTCTTGTAAAATGGAGAATTCTTTGTCTCACTCCCAACCACACTGCTTTGTTGAAATGATAAGTACACTTACCCAAAAATGATTGTATCACAAGAATATTTAATGTTTACATGAAAATTTACTCATGGCGGGGTTATGCGTTTGGTAGAGCATGCCAAGTACCCACATCAAGACCAGTTCAGTTCAAATCAGTTCATTCCACACAGATGTTTCCTGTGCCCAGCAAGTTCAGAAAGAGAGGAGCCTTGACAGTTCTCTTGGTTAAGCCAGCTTTGCTGGCGAGGTCTTTCAAACTCTCCAGGAGCAGTCTATCCCCCCACACACCTCCCATCCCATATAAAAGAATAAGATGGACATTTTCTCAATGTATTTCATCAGTTTAGCACATCTCTGATACAAAATCCAAGGAAGGCTGCACAAAAGCGAAAGCACCAACACAGCTTACTTATAAACAAACATGCATACATACTAAACACTACTCAATAGTACTCAAATGAATACAACGTTGCATTAAAAGGTATACAAAAGCACTGTACTGAAAACTTAAAGGTTACACATGAATACTGCACTGTAAATCCTGAATACTCTAATGACCCACCCCCACCCTTCCATAGCCCTGGTGAGGGTCAGAAACCATCAAGCTGCCTCCAGACCTTGCTAGTCCTCAGAGACACTGTTGCGGGGGTACTGGACACTGGGATTAGCCTCCCGCAGAGCTCTGGCCTCCTCCAGAGCTTCCCTGTAACGGGAAGGCCAGGCCTGGGGGTCTTTCTTAAAGACCCTGGCCAGGAACTCCATGATTTGCATCTTGGTGATTTCGCGTCTGGCCCGGGACCCCCAGAAGAACTCGTACTCAGGAGGCTCAACAAAGGGCACGCGCTGGTACTTCAGGTAATTCTGCTGGACGAAATCCTCGGTGATGAGCTTCCTCACGTCCCCGAAGGTGGAGTGCTTCTTCCAGGGCCGCAGCCCCAGGATGCGCAGCACGTTCCAGACCGCGCTCTCTCGGGCACCACGGCCCTTCACGTAGATGAGGCTCAGGATCATGAGCAGGAGACCTGTCATGGGCATGCGGTTGTTCAGCGCCATCCTGTCCAGCTCCTCAGGATCAAGCGCTTTGACGAGCGCGAACTCCATGGTGTGCAGGCTGGTCAGCCTCAGGTGCAGCCCAAACACTCGGGCGAGGATGAGGCTGGTGCGCCTGAGGATGCTTCTGCACCATTTCTTGTAGCTGCCGATGACATCTCTCACCATGTCTGGAAACCAGATGATCATCCTCTTCTGGTCCTTCACCAGCACGTACCACATGAGCTCGTGCGCCTTCTGCACCAGCTGGGCCGGGGCTGGCGGCGCCGGGCCGGGCTGGGCCGCGCTCGGGGACTGGTGGGCGCGGCCCTGCTCCGCGGCCTGCTGCTGGGCCTTCGGGTCGCCCTCGTCGCTCGGGTCTTGGGGCTCTGGCTCGGCCTGGGGGGCAGCCGTCGGACCTAGAGGAGGGCTCTGGGGCTGCGCCGCGGGAGTCGCGGCCGGAGAGTCGTACGCGGGGATCCCCACCGGAACCCCTGGGCTGTCGTGCACCTCGGAGTTGGGGGCCTCGCATGCAAAGTTGGGGTCGCTCAGATCCTTACTTTGTTCCGACATGTCTGCGCCGTCTGACAAGAGCAGGGCCTCTCAGTCCCGGAGCTCTTCGAGTCTGCACTCCCTTAGAGGACTCCCGGAGAGGAAGTGCGCGTTACTGCGCGCGGCGCCTTCCGTAGCGGCGGCCGGGGCGGGGCGGTGGCGACAGGGGACACTGCGCCTGCGCCTGCGCGTCCGCCCCCAGCCCTGGGCCGGCCGGGCAGCCCCGGGGGCAGGGTTGTGCGGGGCGCCAGTCTGGGCGGGTCTGCGGAGGGGCCTCTCAGGGGACAGCAAGAATGACCCACTGGTTTCCTGCTTGGGCTAAGAAGGTCATATGCGGGAGAGGAGGGAGATGGATGAGCTTTGGAGAAGGGCCAAGTTTGAGAAGAAAGCTAACTCAAGTTTCTGAAATAACTAAAGTTGAGTGTCTTAGAAAGTGTTCTTCGAGGTATACACAGAATTAAATACAAGTCCCAAAAGAGGACTAGGCGAGTGTGCAAAGTTGAGTTTTAAACGCATTAGTGAGAGGGACAGTCGAAATTGCCCAGGAAAGTATGCAAACTGTGAAGAGAGTGTCTGAGATTGCAATCCTGAGAAATGCTGGTAAAAACTGATTTGAGCCCCTGCCTACCAAATGACAGGATTATAACGTAAGGAGAAGTTTGGAATTTAGATAGTGTTATTCCCCATAAATCCACGAGGAATTTGAACATCATTAAATGTTTTAATGATGGATTTTGGTCCTGGATTTTGGTTTTCCACTTCCCTTTGGGTCTCTCTTATCCCATTATAATTTTCCCATTAAGATTCCCTAACCCGAAGATTGCCATATTGATTAGCACACATTTGTACGGTACTCTCCCCCTGTTTTTCCAGCGCCCTCATTCCTCGCGTTACCGCTGCTCCCCCCAATTCTGTGTTTATGTGGAGATTTACCTTCTCACGGGATGTCCTCTGGCGGTAACTGATTCCTCTCATTGGCTCTCCCACCCAAATTGTTCCTAACTTTTTTTTTTTTCAAACACAGGTCCCACAAGTAAAATCTGGCCACCTGTCTCAAGTGACCAAAAGGTATCAGACACAATGTTGTGGTGACAGTCTTTTCCAAGTATAGAGAATGGATCCGCTGTGGACTCCTGACATTCCTGGAGTCCATTCCTGAAAAAACCGGGGTCATTCTATTTTTATTTTTTTGAGGTTTCTTTATACTTTTCTCCATAGTGACCGCACTAATTTACTTTTCCACCAACAATGTATGAGGGTTCTCCTTTCTGCATATTCTTGCTGGTGTTTATTTATTTATTTTTCATAAAAGCTGTTTTAACTGGGATGAGTGTTATCTCATTGTAGTTTCAATTTACACTTCTCTGATGATTCATGATGTTGAAATATTTTTCATATACTTCGTTCAGCAGTCCCAATATTGGGTGTATGTGCAAAGAAGGGAAATAAGCCAAGCACAAAAAAACATATGTGTGTGTTCTCACTTACATGTAGGAGCTAACCATTAAAATGCCACATGTGCTCACTACAGAATTAGAGTTAACAGATAAGCACACGTGTGCACAGAGGGAAGTAAAACTCTGGAAATCAACTCTGGGGAACGGGGACAAGGGAGAGTCAATAACCTACCTAATGGGTCCTATGAACACTGTTTGGGGATGGGCACACCTTTAGCCAGGACTAAAGCATTACTAAAGTTATCTATGTAACACAAAATATGTCCACCCTTGTCACATTTTGAAATAAAAATTAAAAATTAAAACAAATGGTCTCATGGAAACGGAGAGTAGAATGACAGAGGCTGAGCAAGGAGGGGAGGACAAAGTGGGCATATTAATGAGTGCAAAAATAGAGTTAGCTAGTTAGCTAGAATGAAAAATATTGGATAGTACAAAGTAACTATAATCAACTGTAAGTTAGGGTAGACAAGATCTGACAATTAATTTCTAGAACTCATCCTCCAAAAATGCTACATACTTCATTCCTGAAAATCACTATGGTCACCTTCAAAATATTCTCTTTGGAAGTATCCCCTGAGGCCAGAGCCTAGTACACCCTTCAAAGCAATTTTGGACCTCTTTTTCTATAATGATCATCAAAGCTGTTGTTGTACAGTCTGAGAATTAAGTTTGTGAGCTTGCCACCATGTGCTTACGTTGGCGGCAGTGTACGAGCAACTTGATAAGGTTTTATAACCTTGGTATATCAGTGTCTCACGGGTGTATTTGTGTCAGTGTGTGGTGGTGTATTGCTGAGTGGCATTCATTTTTATCGCTGAGGTTATTTTTGTGTGCTGTAGGACAACTATGCACTTTAAAATAAATGAAAGAGTGCAATTGGAATGTTCCTAACACAAATGATAAATACCCAAGGTGGTCGATGTCCCAATTAATTAATTCACATTGAAATCCTGTATCAAAACATCCCATGTACCTTATATAGATATACAACTCTTATGTGCCCATAATAATTAAAAATTAAAAAAAAAAGAAAGCAAAGAGAAAAGGGGTCGTTGTTGGAGCTTCTGGAACCAGGGATCCCAAGGTTGAGCACCATCTAAGCAAATATGGTCCTTTCCCTCTTCCCGGGTTTTCTCAAGTCCACAGCTTTTTAAACATGCTATCTTGAATCTAATCATTGTCAGCTGAACCCCGAAGCACATTTGATATGTTTTCTTGATATGAAGAGTACCTACTTCATTTGCTTAACTATTCTTTCTCGTTTCTCACTTTATTTTTTCTGAAGTAAGTTGAATCTGAGGGATGTTCTGTGCTTTCTCTCTTTTTGGTTTTTCGCAGGTGTCACCTTTGGCAGGATAATTTCCACACCAGTCCCTCCTACAGGACTCTTTAGCTTCTAGATTCACCAGAGTAATTCCTAGATATCATTCAGATCTATCTTAATTAGATTTATTTCGTTTCCTCTTCCTCTCTGCTACTCCCTCCTCCGCCCTCCCCTCCCATTTCCGGAGGGCTCCTCTTCCTCCTCCTCCCTCTTCTTCTCTACCCCTCCCTGTCCTCCTCCTTCTTCCTCTCCTTCCCCTCCTTCTCTTCCTGTGATTAAGGGATATCTACTATTTTCTTGAATATGTCTTAAGGTACACATTTTCAGCACCAGGGACCAGTTTCACAGAAAATAATTTTTCCTCGAATTGGGTGGGAAAGGTATTAGGGAGGAGAGGGAACTCAAGCAGTGATGATGTGTGGCCCAGTTAACAAGCCAGGGACTGGGACTGGTCTGGGGATTGGCGACTGCAATCTTAAGGAATTGTGCCAATTTAATTCATTATTTTTGATGATGTCATTTGACTAGATTTCTAGTTCCTATACTTTTATTTATTTATTTATTTTTGAGATAAATTCTCGCTTTGTTACCTCAGGCAGAGCACACTGATGTCATAATAGCTCACTGCAACTTCAAACTCTTGGGCTCAAGTGATCCTCCTTTCTCAGCCTCCCAAGTAGCTGGTATCACACGCATGTGGCACCATGCCCCAGTAATTTTTTCTATTTTTTTAGAGACTTAATCATGCTCTTGATCAAGCTGGTCTCAAACTTCTGGCCTCAAGTGCTAGGATTACTGCATGAGCCACCTCATCTGTCCTCCATGTTTCTTAAAAATAATCCTTATTTCTTGCATTTTTATCTCCATTAATTTCCTTTTCCTTATTTTGCTGAGTTTTTTTCTTTTCTAATTATTTAAAGGAGATGTTTAGTTCATTTGGTGCATTTTTAAATAATGAGTATGTTTGAACCTGTTAAGTCTCAGGTCAGCTGTGGTTGTGGACTGTGTTTTTGTTTGTTTGTTTGTTTGTTTGTTTAAGAAAAGGGGCCAATAGAGATTCGTGTTTATTTTATTTTATTTTATTTTACTTTTTTTGCAGTTTTTGCCAGATCCAGGTTTGAACCTGCTACCTCTGGTATATGGGGCCAGCGCCCTACTTCTTTGAGCCACAGGCGCCGCCTGGACTGTGATTTTTTAACGGTGCAATGTCATTAGCATTACGTACTCACATTTCACCCATGTAGATTTTATAGATTCATGAAATTAAAGCACAAACTTGGGGCACCACAATGATAAAAGTTGGCACCTCCTCTGCTGATGAGGGCTATCAAAGCTTTGCCAACAGAGCTTCTCATGCTCCAGCTGCTGTCTGGGCTAGACTGAATAATTCACTTCCCACATGGATCTCCCTCCAGGGAAGTTTCCAGCAATGGGTGGACTGGGTCTACTAGCTTTACTGGCACACAGGTCGCACTGCGCTTCTGCCAGGAAGGTTGTTTAATGCGGTGCCATTTCCTGTGGATTAGGACCACACTGAGAGGTTACACTTGGGGTGCTTGAAGTCTGGGAATTGATACTCAAGTTTGAAACCAAGTATAGGGTAGACCTTGGTTCTGGTCACCTTGCAGCCCAACTGTACACCTGCCAAAATGATGTCTTCTTCTTCTCATGGAAGGGTCTACTAGAGAGACTGGGTTCCCACCACGAAGAAAATTAATGGTAGATGGGCTTGTGTGGGTGGGGTGGTAGGACAAAATAAAGCTATAGGGAGCCCTTGAAAAAGTACCTGCACATTTGCCATGGAAGGGGTCAGTAGCTTGATCACTACCTAAGAGGTGCTTATCCAAAAACAGAGATGCAGACCTTCAGAAAGATAAGTAAATGTGCCCATGACACTATCAGAAAGAAGAGGAAGCCAGGCTTAGGAAGCATCCATGATTGCTCTAACTCAAGGGACTGCATTTGTGGCTAGAGTTTCGATGATGTCCTGAGGGTGCTATAGATAAACTAGCCTTGCTAGGTATGCCCAGGGTGGGCACTATTGGATATGGAAACTCTCAGGACCAGCAGCTTAGAAGTGTAAGTATGAAACTCACCAAAATATTCCCAGTTACTCATTAAATCAAGATTCTGTACATAGATGCCCCCTGGATGTAGAAAGTAAATGAAGAAGTTATAACTTAAAATATTCTGGAGCAGTTTTGCTGGTGGGTTACTTCAAACTCTGTAAATATGGAACAGATTACACAGCTGTGGAATAGGCTGTTCTTGGCAGAACCAGAAATAGGAGGAGAAGCCACTCCAGGCATTGGTTTCCATAGTGAGGAGAGGAAGGGGGGTCACCCCAGA